GCTTGGCGACGCAGTGGAACACTAAAGAGAATAAATTGCCCATAGCGTTAATCTGATTAAAGCAGTAGGAAAATATAGCATGTCTGAGCAGAATCAACACGAAGAAGGGGCAAGAAACACGACTTGTGAGTAGTCTATCATCACACCAGTTACTAGCTTTTGAAAAATCTGAAAAACAGGAAGGTAAAAAGGTCTTGTTTAGTAGTGGTGAGGTCCGATGGGTGGGTAAGGAGCCAGAGGGCAATACAGCGAGAGAGTGGAAGGAATGGGAATATGTTGGGATGATATTGTTGGTATTCAATGTTAGTGTAGAACAATAGGAAATGAAACTGTGTTAAAATGTGTTCTAAGAAGGATCGGGGAGTGAGGGATGATGGGAGAACAGACTGTGAAAGGGGTTGGGATTGAATGTAGTATACATGTGTCCGAGCATCTGTGATTAATTAAACATCACAATGGTAGGAAGATTACCCCTGTTAGAACTATTATGCTATGCTGTTTTAATTTTTGATTTATTTATTATTCTCATTTAATTCCACCTGTCGATAGAAACTTGTTTTGGGTTCATCTTTTACCTTGCCGCTTCTCCTGCCCCTGCCTATGCCTGACGGCACTAAGAGCTCCCCGGCCCTTCCCCCTTGCTTTAAAACCAGGCCCAGGAATCTGTACTAACTGGTGCTCTTACTATTAACTGCGCAGTTCTATCTATCTTTAAAGAGATGATAAACTTGAAAGAATGACCCCTTCTCCAGAAGCCAAGGGTACATAAGAGGAAGCAGTGTCCTTTCTGGGATGAGTCAAATGACATAAGACACAAAGTCCTCCAGCTCTTTGGTTCTCCTGGTCTAATGAGGCAAGGAGTACCTGAATTCAACTGCCAGAATTTGAGCAAAATTCACAGTGAGAAGGGAAATTATAGGGACCTTGATCCAATTCAAGATACTGTTGGATGTACACATACATATGTACATACATACATACACACACTCCCACACTGCATGTCAATGTATAATGAAATTTATGAGTGATATGTTTGCATTATAAACTCATAGTGACAAGAGGATCACTTCCACTCATGAATTCCCTGACCTCCTCCTAGGTGGTCTTGTAAAAACATTATTAAGTCTCAGGAGGAAAGAAGAAAAATCACAACTGACCTGCAGAGGTCATTGCCCAGTACAACGGCACCACCTGCTGGACATAGCCTCTAAATACTCCCTGTATTAGTTCAAGGGCAGTCACATGAAACCAGGAACTGGCTAGTTTAAGAAACAGAAATGTATTGTCTCTGTTCTGGAGGTTAGAAATCTGGAATCAAGGTTAGCTCCTTGCTGTGAGGGAGCCCTCTGTTTCAGGCTTATTTCTTTGGCTTGTAGATGAGTGCCTCCATATTCAGAGTACATTCTTCCAGTATGCATGTATCTGTGTCCAAATTTCTTCTCCTAAGGCCACCACCAGTCTTATCAGATTAGGAACCAGCCTAATGAATCATATGAATTTGATTGCCTCTGAAAGGACCCTATCTCCAGATAAGGTAACATTCTGAGGTACTACGTGTTAAGCGTTTCAATATATGAATTTTGAGGTGACACAATTCAACCAATGACATATCCCTTCCAAAAAGGGGAATCAGTTATTGACCTGTTGCTGAGTGCATGCTAAAAAACAAATGTTTGCCCCATGGAGACCTTGTGGCTCCAAGGCATGATGTACCCATTTTGGGATGGGCTGTCTAATACACAAAAACTATAAAGAGAAGACTCATTTGCTGGTCAACTGAAAATAAGGTGTTTGAGTGGATGGCTAGCATGGCCATACCTAAGCCTCATCTCAGTCTTGCACAAAGGAACAATAGTTGCCCCTCTTGGGAAAACCTTATCCCATCCAAGACAAAGCTACTGACTCATTAGGGCTCTGGATTCACAGATATTCCCCTAAATACGTGGGCTCACCTTTGGTATCTAAGCCAAAAACCAATAGTTACGGCTGCTGTTTGACCTCAGTGCCAGCTATGTAAAACCTAGTCACTGCGATCAGTGGGCAGAACTCTAAGCTGTTTTTAGGGCTCTGGTCAGTCAGGTTATTACCAGGGTCCTTGAATGTCCCCAAACATTCTTGCTGGGTAGGTCAAGAATGCAAAGCCCTGAATGATCTTTACTTGGACTATTTCTTACTTGTACTTCAGTGAACATCCTTGAGAGATAAGATAAAGGAACTCCCTCTCTCCTCCTTTCCTTCCCTTGCTCATAGCTTACTACAAAAGCAGGGGACTCCCCAATCTCAATGTTCCTCAAATGTAATATAAGTCCACTGAGTATATAGCATCCATTTAAGCTCATACCTGTCTTTGTCACCTCCATGAGTCTCCGAAGATATGGGGAATTAAATCAACACCATGCTCACACTGTTTGCTGTGCTATGAGTGATAAAATCATCTGTCTCTGGTGTAGGTGCTTCTGACCCTCTATAACAGACTAACTTGTTAGCTTCGAAAGTAGAGTAATCCCTGACCCTTCACAGACCCTGAGGTCATTTGGAACAGATGTAAAACTCCTCTAGTTTCTGAAGATCTTTGACAAGGATGTTTTAAATATGTGATATTCTTGGCAGATTCCTGTACCTAATATTTGCTATTACAATAATTCAGTTGCCCATTTTTTAAATTGTTCCATTCCCCCAAAAGAAATCTTTATCCTCAGAAAGAGTAACAGAAGAGTTGAATACCACCAAAGTATATTATACGCATGTAAGGAGATATCACAATGAAACCCCACACACTGTACAATTAACATGTGCTAATGAAAAATGTGGAAAAAATCTTTGCCCCACACAGGACACTTGTATCAGTCTTTAATTGCAGTAACAGCAACACCTAATACAAAATAAGAAAAAAAAAAAAAAAGAGGCTTCTTTGTTTTGGCCAGGAATCAAACCCAGGGCAAGCACTCCACCACTCAGCTACATCCCCAGTCCATGAGAAGTGTTTTCCTAAAGACTACAGACTTTGTTCTACATAATATGTATATTTACTCCTTAAAACATTTCTCTGAAGGTGATATTATTATCTAGTGTACAGACCAGGAGACTGAGGCACAAATCATACAGTTAGTCAGGGGTGGAGCAGGGATTTATCCAGGCAGTTTGACTTTGGTCTTCATTTGTAACCACTAGGTACACTGCCCAAGAGTAGGACTTCTACTCCCAGAGGCATAATGGGCCATAGGGGCCTAGTGATCTCTGTCTGAAATCTTAGCAAAATAATTTGGGTTAAACTTTTAACACTTAATTTTTTTGTTGTTTTTTTTCCTCTTTTTATTAGTGTATGGTAATTGTACAAAAGGGTTTTGTTGTGAAATTTCCATCTATGCATATAATGTACTTTGATCAAATTGGCCCCTTCTGTTGCTCCTCCTTATCCCTCAAATTGACCCCATTTTCAAACAACTTTAATAGGTTTCATTATTCTTTCTTTTTACCCTCCCAATGGTTCCCACCCCTCCAAAACAATTCTCCCATTTTACACTTCTGTCATTTTTTTTTTTAGGTCTAGATTCTACATGTAAGAAAGAACATGTGCTGTAGATGGATAGATAGAAAGATACAGATAGAGACAGAGATAGAAATATATAGTACTTTCTTTACCCATTCATCAACTGATGGACACCTGAGCTGATTACAAAGCTTGGCTATTGTGAATAGTGCTGCTATGTGTAGGTATCTCTATTGTGTACAGACTTACATTTCTTTGGAATTGTATAGCAGAATCACATGACGGTTCTATTTTTAGTTTTTGGATTTTTTTTTTTTTTTTTGCAGCACCTTGAGACACTTCATCAGCCTTTTTTTGTAATGAGTTTTTGCTTTTCTTTTTTTTTTTTCTGAGATAGAGTCTCTCGAACTATTTGCCTGGGCTGGCTTCAAACTTCGATCCTCCTGAGTATTTAGGTTTATAGGTGTGAGCTGCTGGCACCAGGCTATTTTTAGTTTTTTGAGTAACCTCCATATTGATTTCTATAGTGGCTGCACTAATTTACATTCCTACCAACAGTATAAGAATTCCTATTCTCACCAATATTGGTTGTTGTTTTTTTCCTTGGTGGTTGCCATTCTGACTGAGGTGAGATGGAATCTTAGTGTCATTTTGATTTTCATTTCCTTTATTGATAAGGATTTAACACTAAATTTTGACCTACAACATTTTAAAATACTTTTCAACTTGTGTTAGGCAATTCAACAATCTACTGTGCTTTGATCTTCTATCCATCCATTGTATAATCCAATGTCAAGCTTTCACAATCTGTATTAGTTTCCTATTGCTGCTGTAACAAATTATCAGGACCTTAATGACTCAAAATAACACGAATTTATTCTCCAAAAGAGGCTGGCAGTTCTGTGCCCCTCTGGAAGATGTAGAAGAGAATCTGTTTCCTTGCCTTTTCCACCTTCTAAAGGCTACCCACAGTCCTTAGTTTGTGGCCCTGACTGACTCCATCTTCAGTCTCTCTCTCTCTGTCCCTCCCTCCCTCCCTCCCCCCTTTAACACATTCACACACACACACACACACACACACACACACACACTTGCTTCCCTCTTTACCTTATAAATACCCTTACAATTACGATTACGATTACGATTACGATTACGATTACGATTACGATTACAATTACAATTACAATTACAATGGTCCATCTGAGTAATCTAGGATAATCCTTGCATCTCAAACTCCTTAAATAATTGCATCTTAAGATCCCTTTTACTGGGTAAGAGAACATTTTTAACATATTCTCAGGTCCTATGAATTAAGACATGAATGTATCGGGGGAGTATTATTCTGTCTATAATATACTTTAAGCAATTATCTCTTCCCGTAGGGTGGAAATTTTGATGAGTATCTGGATTGGATACTTAAACAAGACCATTCACCAGATAATTAGTAATTCATTTCATCTTGTCTTTAAAGATGAGGCATTTCATTTGGGGGTGGGGGTGTTACAGAGAACATACTGCTAAAGTACATGTAGTAGAACTTTAACCACTGCAATAACATAACAGCTTAATTATTTCAAAACATACCTGAAGTTTAGCATTCATAAGCATGAACTCTTTTTGATTTTTCATGTTTTCATTAATGGATTTTGAAAATATAAACCCCATCTTGACCTAAAGTAGAGAAACGTAAGGAGACATTAAGTAATATACTATGTGCATCTTTGTATGCACTGCTGTAGGCTACCATGAAAAATATTTCTGACCTAGGAACACAATGTGAATCCTGACTAGCTAGAACCTACAGGATACTTAATCAGCCTGGCCATCATTTATTCAGCTAAGACCAGCTGGCTGAACTATATAATTTCCAAAGTCTCTCCCTGCTCTATAAGCATATGGTGCGGTGTTTCCTGATTTTTTCTTCCCACTATAAGTCTTGAGAACCAGGTGGATACCATCTTACCTTCTGTACAGGTAGACAATAAAACCTTGTATCTGAGGAGGAGCAATTCAGAAGACGCCCAGTGCATCTTGAGAACACATTTCTCTGTGCTTCATGCATTTGTATTTTAAGAAGATTTGGGCATCTCAAGGTTGGTATAGCAATATTTTTCCCGCGATCCCATCATGATCCCTGTGCCTCTTCTACATAGCCTTTGTTGCCACCCATCCACTGCTGACATCCCTTAGTCACCCTCCTCCAGTTTCACCTTTGCTCTCTCCATGTTGGTAGTAAAGTTCTCAAAAGGATACTTTTACCCTTGGAAATGTACTTTTTAAATAAATGCATTGTACACTTGCTTCTTGAGTGGCTTCCTTGTATTCTGGTCAAGGCCATACCCTGGAATTACAGGGTCAGTCATTGCCTCAAAACTGGGCATAGGAGGCTGGACTACTTTCTGGGGAGAAGAGGCCTGGGAGGTCATGAGGATTCCCTCTTTATCGGCCACTATCCCACTCCAGTACCTGGTGACCAAAGATAGAGGTCACATTGAGATACAGAGATCTAGCAGTTCTCTCCTTTCTCTAAGTTTTGACAGACCCATGTAAGTCATCTTCAGCAGCAGACTAGAACTTGCAGGAGAAATACATTATCCATGTTGACAGTTTCCATGGCATATACTCTCCACAAATGTTTGCACAAAGCAGGAATGATATAATACAAGAAAAGCTTTGGCTCAGGCCACTTGCCATTCCTTATTTTTGTTCTGTATATGAGTGGATAACTGAATTTCTACATATGCTGCAAACATTTATAAAGTAAACAACTGTCCTCTAGTGTCCATGCACCCTGTAAGAGGGTGGGATCTTCCCGGAAACACAGAGACAGTCTTCATGTCAATCATCTAGAGAAAAGGAAAAATTCTGCAAAGTTGAAATTCAGACTTACCTCTTTCTGAACCTTGCTGTCTTGGGTCTGGACTTGAACTTTGGATGTGTTAGGGAATGCTCCCTGGTAGAAAGGTTAATGATGGAAACCACACAGGAAGAAGAGCTTCCCTCCGGGAGGCCACGCCTGAAAATGAGTTCACCACACCTTATAACCTTCACCCTCAATGGAATTCAGTACTTTCAACCTCCTCTCTTTCCCTACCCTTTAAGAAGTCGCTTTCACACCATTCTTTAAGGTGTTCAGAATATTCTCAGATTTCTCTCTCCCACCCACAAAATATTTATCAGCAGATAAACAAAAGTGACTTCACAGTAAGAATAACTTTGACTTCACTCATTTGTATAAGGTAAGTCCGTCAAAAATCCAACACTTTATCATGGGTAACAAACGTGTTTCTATTTATACAACTTTAGACACTAATGTGTCTCAAAGGACGAACAAAGTTGGTTTGAGTCCCTTCTGTTTTCATTTTTCCTTTGATTGTCCTAAATCTTGGCAAAAGGTCTTTAATGCTCCAGCTCTGCTTCGGCTGAGCTACAGATTACTATAGAAAGGTGTGTTTCTGGAGAAGAGCTGGCTGTACAAATTCCAAATAGTTTTCCTCTGGTCACCCCTGGGAACGTAGATTAGAGAAGTCCATGGATTCTGACAGTCAGATTTCTGCACTGATTTATTTCCCAATAGAGAATACATTTTCTGAATTTACGACTAGTCGCATAATCACAGTCATTCTCAATACCTCCCCCAACCCTGCAAATTTCAGCCTGAATCCCACAAAAGGGTTCCCGTAATTATCTCCAATCTCTCGCTCTTTGGCCCCAATTACAGTGTTAAGCATTGCCCATAGTGGTATCCTGACTTTTCCCAACTCGATGATGAAACAGAGATCACACGACCACGAAACTGGCCACCGGTCAGCAGGGGCAGTGGGCGAGCCAAGGGCCATGCGCTCGCGAGGACAGCGCCCGGGGCCCGATGCGACCTCTCCATCTCGGCCCGAAGCGGCCGCAGCCAACGCAGCGCGTGACTGTCCCTCCCCGCCCGCGGGCGGCCGCGCTCACTCACCGAGCGCGGGCGACACGCGCGGGGACCAGGTGACTGCTGCGATGGCCTCCGGACAGCCTCCGCCGGCGGCAGGGACCCGGCCTTGTTCGGCAGAACTTCGGGATTGGCTGGCTATGACAGATTATTAGCTTCAGCCAATCAGCGTGGGCCTTGGCTTCCTTTAAGTTATCTGCTTTCCCTGCAGAGGCCTGGTGTGTCCTTCCGGGGTCAGACACTTTGGTACCGGTGGTGGGAGGGGCAGATCAAAGCGGCAAATTCAAAACCTCACGAGCTCAGTGATCCGATTTTGAGGGGAGGCAGAGAAAGCAGAAAGGAAATCTCCACTAAAGGCCTCAGTTTCCTCAGCTGTAAAACTGCCACCATTAATGTGGCAAAAGGGTATCACAAACAAACAAAAATGTGGACTAAATTACTATGCTACCATATTTCTCCCCTGCTGCCCTCTGATGGATGGCCATTTCTTTTCAGTCCTGCTAGCAGTTTCTATCTGGAGTAGACCAAGTCTCTCCTAGTCTTCTTGAGAGACTATTTGAAGAAACTATTGGTGCTCTGTCCTTTGCTACCACATGGTTTGGGAAAATAGCATAGACTTCACTGGGTGGTGGCCTTGAGGAATGTCCATGAGGAAGCACCCTGCCTTAGCCCTGGCTGACCACCATTTCAGTGGAGTTGTCTAACCACTTCCAGGCTCAGCAGATGAGGAAGTACCGAGCTGACCTCCTAGACTTTTCTAACTACTGTCAGCCCCAGACCTCAGTGTTCTGGAGCGTGGGTCCCACATTCCAAACATTGTTCCATGGCTGGATGGGAAATTGGAACAGCATTCTCATTTCTGCTTGTGGGAGCAGATGTGTTGCCAACAGCAAAGCCATGTGGAGCTTTGACTTTTGAAGGCTTAACAACTGATCCATGGGGTAGAGAGCAGTGTTTGGATGTACGCATTAACATAAATACATCCAAGTTCCAGCTCTGCCACCGTCACCCTCTCATTTTATCACCTCTATCGACAATAGAACTAAAGTTGTTTAATTCATCGGGTTGTGAGAACTAAATCAGACAATGCATTAGACATTTCATACAGTCTGGCATTCAATAAACAGTAATAACTAGCAGCCATAGGGAGTTGTTACTAACTATAGGCCTGAATGGACAGGGTAAAAGAACAGTTTCAAAAATCAGGTGAGAGCTATAGCAGTGATTTTTGGACAGGGTACCCAACAGGAACCATGTTGTTCAGTAAAGGAAATCTTTGACAGAGAAAGGTAAGATTCTATAATTGTCACTGTCACTACCGGGACCTCACCCCAAAGCAGAGGCCATAAAGAAGAAAGACCCACTTCTCTCTCCTCCCATTCTCTGATATGCTGCAAGTGTCCTCCATTGGCTGGATCCACCAGAAGCCATAAGACAAGAGAGCTAGGTCGATGCAGTTTTTAGTGTTCAGTCTCTAGGCACAATGCCTGAAGGGGAAATCTCTAATACACTGTTTCTGGAACCTTGGATTTATCATGTTTGGAAGTCCCAGATCAAAAGGCAGAAATGCTTCCACTGGAAATCCCAGCCATGGCTCTACAGAACTGCAAGCTGAAACTGTCTTCTGGTCTTTTTGGTTCCTCATAGTGATGAAATTAAGATGACTGATCCCAATTATCAAAAGGAAATTGGGGGCTGGAGGTATGGCTCAGGCAGTCAAGCACTTGCCTAGCAAGTATGAAGCCCTGAGTTCAAATCCCAGTACAGCCAAAAAAAAATGTTGGACTCAAAAAGAAATTGGATTGTACCTATACGGTGATGGCAAAGAGAATTATGCATGACACTCAAAGATGAGTGTCATGAGCACTAATAAATGTCCTTTAATAACTGCAGTAACCTAATAAAACTAGGCCCAATTAAATTTCAGATCATGCAGAAATTAAAGTGTTGTGTTACCACTAAATCCTCATCTGCCAAGGTGCTGGCAGAAGGCAGAGGAAACATGAGGGAATAGCTAGGAAGCGATGATTATCGATTTTAGCCTTGCAAGAAGCTATAGAGGAAAGACTATAACAGCTCTACATATAAAATGTTGTTTCTTCCCTGCCCCCTTTCTTTCCCTGCTACCTTACCTAAAGAGTACTGGTGGAGACAAATATTACACTTTAGTTTTTGGTTGGAGTATACCCGAATTGACATTGTCTCTAAGAAATACGGTTGCTGACAGCAATTAGGCAAGAGGAAGGAATAAAAGGAATACAAATAGATAAAGAAACTGTCAAAATATCCCTACTTGAAGACAATATGATCCTATACCTTAAATACCCAAAAAATTCTACCCAAAAATTCCTAGACACCATCAACAGCTATAGCAAGGTGGCAGGATATAAAATCAACATATAAAAATCATCAGCTCATCTATACACTAATAATGAACAAACTGAGAAAGAATATATGAAAACAATTTCATTTACAATAGCCCCCCCAAAAATCAAATACCTAGGTGTAAACTTAACAAAGGATGTGAATGACCTCTACAAGGAAAACGATAAACCCCTGAAAAAGAGATTGAAGAAGACTATAGAAGGTGGAGAGATCTCCCGTGCTCATGGATTGGTAGAATCACCATAGTAAAAATGGCTATACTACCAAAAGCAATCTGCATGTTTAATGGAATTCCCATCAAAATCCCAATGACATTCATCAAGAGATTGAAAAATCTACCCTAAATTCATCTGGAAACACAAGAGACCACAAATAGCCAAGGCAGTACTCAGTAAAAAGAACAATGCTGGAGGTATCACAATACCCGATTTCAAACTATATTACAAAGCAATAGCAATAAAAAGAGTATGGTACTGGCACAAAAACAGACATGAAGACCAGTGGAACAGAATAGAGGACCCGGATATGAATCCACACACTATGCCCACCTTATTTTTGACAAAAGCGCTAAAAATATATGATGGAGAAAAGACAGCCTCTTCAACAAAAGCTGTTGGGAAAACTGGTTACCAGTCTGCAAAAACCTGAAACTAGATCCATGTTTATCACCCTGTACTAGTATCAACTCGAAATGGATCAAGGACCTTAATATCAGACCCCAAACTCTAAAGTTGGTACAGGAAAGAGTAGGAAACACTTTGGAACTAATAGGTATAGGCAAGGACTTCCTCAATAGAACCCCAGCAGCTCAGCAACTAAAAGAAAGGATGGACAAATGGGACTTCATAAAACTAAAAAGCTTCTGCTCAACAAAAGAAATGGTCTCTAAACTGAAGAGAACACCCACAGAGTGGGAGAAAATATTTGCTAGCTGCACATCAGACAAAGGACTGATAACCAGAATATATAGGGAACTCAAAAAACTAAACTCTCCCAAAATTAATGAACCAATAAAGAAATGGGCAAGTGAGCTAAACAGAACTTTCTCAAAAGAAGAAATTCAAATGGACAAAAAACATAAGAAAAAAATGCTCACCATCCCTAGCCATAAAGGAAATGCAAATTAAAACCACACTAAGACTCCACCTCACTCTTGTTAGAACAGCCATCATTAGCAACACCACTAACAACAGGTGTTGGCGAGGATGCGGGGAAAAAGGAATCCTCTTACACTGCTGGTAGGAATGCAAACTAGCACAACCACTCTGGAAAAAAATTTGGAGGCTACTTAAAAATCTAAACATAGATTGCCATATGATCCAGAAATCCCACTCCTGGAGATATACCCAAAGGATTGTGACTCAGGTTACTCCAGAGGCACCTGCACACCCATGTTTATTGCAGCACTATTCACAATAGCCAAGTTATGGAAACAGCCAAGATGCTGCACTACTGACAAATGGATTAAGAAAATGTGGTATCTGTACACAATGGAATTCTTCTCAGCCATGAAGAAGAATGAAATCTTATCATTCTCAAGTAAATGGATGGAACTGGAGATCATCATCTTGAGTGAGGTTAGCCAGGCTCGTAAGATCAAAAATCGAATGTTCCCCCTCATATGTGGACATTAGATCAAAGCCAAATACAGCAAGGGCATTGGACTTTAGTCACATGATAAGGTGAGAGCACCCAAGGGAGGTATGAGGATAGGTAAGAAACCCAAAAAAACATGATAGCATTTGATGTCCTCAATGCAAAGGAACTAATGCAGAAACTTTAAAGTGACAGAGGCCAATAGAAGAAGGGGACCAGAAACTAGAGAAAAGGTTAGTTTGAGAAGAATCAACTTAGAATGTAACACATATGAACATGAAAGCAATTCGAGGAATCTCCCTGTATAGCTATCCTTATCTCAACTACCAAAAACCCTTTGTCCTTCTTATTATTGTTTATACTCTCTCTTCAACAAAATTAGAGATAAGGGCAAAACAGTTTCTGCCTGGAAACAAAGAGGTGGGGGGGGAGAGGGAGGGGACGGGGTGGAGGGGAGAGGGAGCAGGGAGAAGGAGGGAGAAATGACCCAAACATTGTATGCACATATGAATAAAAGATATTAAAAAAAAGAGAAATATGGTGGCCAAAGGAACTTACAGAAAAAAGAGCCAGACATAATCAAATGTGTAAAAATAGATTTTATTTAGTAACTGTTGGAATAGGTAGGAAAAGGATTTGGGGATAGAACTTGGTTCAATTCCAAATATAGCAAGGACAAACAGGGTTTATAGCTAAGGAACAGATCAAAATATAGAAGAATTTGATCAGACCTTGAATATGATCAGATATCCAGAGCAGGATGAAGGTAAGGTTTCTTTCTAAACTGTCTTTGTAGGATTCTTGGTAAAATTGACTCCACAAAGGGCACAGAAGTCCAAGTTCAAAGTCTAATCAAGAAGAGGGCTTAGAGAAGCCTGACTGAAATTTGGTTGAGGAGTTCCCCTTGTCACACTGTAATTCCCATGAGTAGGAGATAAGATTCTCCTCATCTGAGCATAGGGAAAAATAAGTGCATGTGGACTCTTTAAAATTCTTGTTTCTCTTCCCTGGATACTTTCTTCTCCCTTCCCTGCACTTGCTGTACCCACAATGACCTCTTTGGGAGCATCACCTGGGCTCTCCTTAGTGGATTTCTATCTGGGTTTGAATATTGGGTTTTCATAGGAGATGACAAGCAGGAGGAAT